CTCAAAACTATGTCAAGGCATTTGAGGATACCGGCTCTTCTGAGGTTCCGGATAGTTCACAGTCTTGGGAGTCCATCAATCAAGATTCGTCAGTGTATGTTATGGGATACACATAGGAAGAAGATAGTAGTCGGGCCAAGAGGAGGAAGTTAACTGATAAAGACATGAAGATTCCACTTCGAAGTGTGTCCGATCGAGGATCTCATATAGGATGAGACAAGGACCCTCTACTCTAGACTTCCTCCGAATGTCAGCTTTTGGTTGGTGAGCTCCACTTCTTCTGGGAATATTACCAATTCACAGTTCGGCATGTGTTAGGTTGTTTTATAAGGGCATAGGGAGCTCTGTCCCGACTTTTATATACTATGGTTATGTTTACTTAGAGATTTTGCAGATAGTATCATGTATAAAGTTTTGGGTATGACATCTCTGTGGCCTGGTCGACCCCTATGTATATAAACCTTTTTCTAAATTAGTTATCCAAGTTAAGTACCTATATATATGGATCTGGCCTAAAATGGCCCGTGATAGAATTGATAATAAACAAGGATAAGGTACGTCGTGTTCGGTTGGGTAGAACTTGATATTATAATGGGTATCGATTGGTTGGCCTTTTGTTATGCTAACATCAAGTGTAGACCAAAGATGGTTTGATTTCAGCTTCCAGGAGAGCCTATTTTAGAATGGAAAGGTAATACCGCATCGCCAAGAGGTAAAATTATCTCCTATCTCAAGGCAAGGAAGATAATAAAAAGGACTACATTTATCACTGAGTTCGGATTTGGGATGTGGAAGTAGAGTTGCCAACCATTCAGTTCTTTCCTGTAGTTAATGAGTTTCCCGATGTTTTTCCTGATGAGCTTCCAAGTCTTCTGCCAAAGCGAGAAATAGAGTTTGTCATTAACCTACTACTACCAGATATTCATCCAATATCTATTCCCTCTATAGAATGGCCCCCGCAGAGCTGAAAGAGTTGAAAGAACAACTAAAAGACTTGCTTGAAAAAAGTTTTATCAGACCTAGTACGTCACCGTGTGGATCACCTGTGTTGTTTGTAAGGAAGAAAGATGGTTCCTTATGAATGTGTTGTGATAATTTTTAAATTATGCGGGTAATTAATTAATTACCAGATAACAGAACATTACCCAGTTAACTAATAAGCTTACAGAGCTTAATTAAATAACCCCAAAGCCACGTGACACAAAGCCACAATGGCTAAGAATGACTCTTAGTCATTCAAGCCATGTAGCTACTTATAGGAATTTCATAAAGTCTTATCCAAAACAAGACTTGGTTACAAGTCTTACATGTAAGACATGGATATAGGTTTCTTTGTTAAAAATTCAAAAACGTTTGGTCTCTGATCAAACAAGAAAACGTGGGCAGAAGTTTCAAAGTTCGACAATTAATCCATTCAAGAGATAGGAACAGAAGCACTTCAAAAAGAAAACGTTGGATCAAGTTTTTAGATTTAATCCATTCTTTAGATCAAAAAAACGTTCAAAGTAGAACAATTCGTCCAAGATTTCAAGGAATTCAAGTGTAATTTCTTTCATATTTCACAAAAGCAAATTCGTTCAAATAATTCAAGAACAGGTATGTTAAGGCCCTCCCTTCTTTCTTTTGGCATGGTCCAAATTATACTGAAGAAANAAGCCTTGCCGGCTCGCCCACTGTATAGTGCCTGTATACGTACATATGCCTTGATGGCAGGTTTCTTTCACATATGTTATTTTCCTAATGCAGCAGATATTATTCAGGTTCATATATTAGACGCATGCTTAGGGGTGTTTGACAGGTAGGAATCAGGCACCCGTCGCGGCCCATCAGTTTGGGTCGCGACAAATAGACAATGTAAGACCCCGAACCTGTAGGCAATATCAAAATTGGGGGTGTAGTCAAAGCTGTCTTGAGCTTCTGAAAGCTCGCCTCACACTCTTCCATCCACTAGAATAGAGCACCCTTCTGGGTCAGTCTGGGCATAGGGGCTGCAATAGATGAAAACTCCCCCACAAAACGACGGTAGTAACCCGCCAAGCCAAGAAAACTGCTGATCTCTGTAGCTGAGGATGGTCTGGGTACACTGCCTCTAGTTTTTTTGGATCCACCTTAATACCCTCGCTCGATACCACATGGCCTAAGAATGCTACGGAATCTAACCAAAACTCACATTTCGAGAACTTAGCATATAACCTCTTTTCTCTCAAGGTCTGAAGCACTGTCCTCAGGTGTTGCTCATGATCTTGCCGACTCCGGGAATACACCAGAATATTATCAATAAAGACAATGAGGAACGAGTCATGATATGGCCGGAACACACTGTGCATCAAATGCATAAAGGCTATTGGGGCATTGGTCTGCCCAAATGACATAACAAGGAACTTGTAATGACCATACCGAGTCCTGAAGGCAGTCTTTAGGATATATGACTCCCGAGTCTTCAACTAATGGTAACCTGAGCGCAAGTCAATCATAGAAAACACTCGTGCACCCTGAATCTAGTCAAACAGATCATCAATATGAGGCAAAGGATAACAGTTCTTCATTGTAACTTTGTTTAAATGGCGATAATCAATGCACATACGCATAAAACCATCCGTCTTCTTCAAAAACAAAATAGGAGAACCCCAAGGTGATACACTGGGCCTAATAAAACCCTTATCAAGAAATTCCTGTAACTGATCCTTCAACTCCTTCAACTCAGGAGGAGCCATACGATACGGAGGAATAGAAATGAGTTGAGTGCCTGGCAACAGGTCAATGCCAAAATAAATATCTATATCAGGAAGCATGCCCGGAAGATCAGCTAGAAACACATCAGAAAAATCCCGTACTACTAAGACTGAATCAACTAAAGGGGTATCAATACTGACATCTCTCATATAAGCTAAATACGCGTCACACCACTCAACACGTGGTACACCTGACATAGCTAGTATTACGATTTTGGCGTGACAATCAATAAAAGCATAATGGGGAGACAACCAGTCCATGCCCAAGATAATATCAAAATCTACCATGTTGAGCAACAATAAATCGGCTCTGGTCTCAAAACACTAAGAGCAACCAAACACGACCGATAAGCGCGGTCCATAACAAGAGAATCTCCCACAGGAGTAGAAACATAAATAGGGGAACTCAAAGAATTCTTAGGTACACCCAAATATGGAGAAAAATAAGAAGGCACATAAGAGTAAGTGGAGCCTGAATTGAATAGAACCGATGCATCTCTGTGACAAACTAGTATAATACCTGTGATGATAAAATTAGAGGCAACAACCTCGGTATGGGCAGGAAGGGCATAGTATCGGGCCTGGACTCCCCCTCTAGGGTAACCTCTACCTCCCCGACCTCCACCTCTAGCTGGTTGAGCAGGTGGGGTAGCAACTAGAGTTGTAAACATAGCCTAAGAACTATGCGGGGCGCGTTGTGGCTGAGAAGTCTGTAGAGGCGCACTTCTCCCAAGTCTAGGGAAATCCCTCACCACATGGCATGTGTTACCACACTCAAAACAAGCTTTGGGAGGACGTGGCGGCTGTGACCGGATCGGGCCAGGTATGTTGGACTGACCCCAGAAAGCACCCCGCACAGGAGGCCCGCTAGATACCGAAGGTGCATAATAAAGCTCACGAGGCCTAGAAGGAGCCAGAATATCACTGGCTGCTGGAAGAGCTGAATGAACAGGGCGACTCATATAACCCCTACTATGACGACCTGTAGCTAGGGCACGGGCACCAGAATAATGGCCCGACTCTCGAGACATCTTGGCCTCCCTCTCCTCTCTCTTCCTAGCATGCATACCCTCAATCCTCCTAGCAATGCTCCTCACCTGCTGATAAAAAATATCCATCTCCAACTCACGAGCCATGCTAGACCTGATGATGGGAATAAGCCCCTCAATAAACCGGCGAACCCTCTCGCGAACAGTAGAAACCAAGGCTGGGGCATGTCTAGCCAAATTGGTGTAACAGACAGCATACTCCGAGATAGTCATAGCACCCTAGCGCAAATGCTCAAACTCTACGCACCATGCGTCCCTGAGGCTCTGAGGAACAAACTCCCTCAGGAACATATCTAAAAACCAAGTCCAAGTCAATGAAGTTGCCTTATCCGGACTGTCTAACTCATAGGTGCGCCACCACTCATAGGCGGCTTCGAAGCTGGAAGGCAGTGAAAGACACCCCACTCGATCCTAATATACCCATAGTGCGGAGGATACGGTAACACTCCTCCAGAAATCTCAGGGCATCATCTGAAGCTATCCTACTGAATACAGGAGGATCATACTTCTTGAACCTCTCAAGCCTCCGCTGCTCATCCTTTGAAACTGCTGCCTTGTCCTCAAATTGACCTGGGCTGCAGGCGGTATAGGAATAACCTCGGGAACCTGATCCATATGCACTCGCTACTCAGGAGTGGGGGCGGCGGGAGTTTGTTCTCCTCTCCCAGCCTAAGATGTAGCTGCAGCAAGGGGAAGCAACCCTGCCTGAGCCAAAGGGATGTACATGCTCATGAACTGTGCCAGAATCTCCTAAAGTGCTGGAGTAGTAGTAGTAGTAGGCATATCAAGTGCTTGGACTCCGACTAGAACTGCTGGTAGTACCTCGGTGGCAGCTCGTGCAGCTGCTCTAGTTTCACCACGTGCGCGTCCTCGGCCTCTACCCCACTCCTGTCCTCTGATGGCTGCATTACGGGGCGCGGGTGCCTGATCGTCTCGAGTAGCACATGTCCTCACCATCTATGAGATAATAGAAGACAGAAGTTTAGAGTTGTGATATCAACAATCTCGCACAACAAGGAGATCAAATGAAGTGGAATTTTCCTAACAGTTACATAGCCTCTTGTAGATAAGTACAGACGTCTCCGTATCGATCGACTCTAATAAACCGGCTTGTGATTCATGACCCTGGTTCGCCCTCCGTGAACTATCGTGAAGACACCTAGTCTCTACGACTAGGTAAGCCTAACAATGCGGAAAATAAACCAATTTGCGGAAGAAATAATAAAACGAAATAGTGAAATAAAATAGTGTTTAAAAGTATCGCTCGGCATACATAATATCATCTATCGAAATCTAAATACATCACAAAACCCATAATCTCATGATCACATGCCTTTGGATGTCTACAAGTATCTAACTCCAGAGTATCTAACAAAGGAAAAGAAAATACTGAAGGGCTAATACTTAAAAAGGGAGAGTAGAAAGGGACTCTTCAGTCTGCAGACGTGGCAGATATACCTCGGAGTCTCTACAAGCACCTCATCTTAAGCGTGATGAGTCTGAGTGGAGGTACCTGGATCTGCACATGAAAAACATGCACAGAAAGGACATGAGTACACCACATCAATAATCAGTAAGTGCCAAGCCTAACCTCGATCGGGTAGTGATGAGGAAGGTCAGGGCCCTACTGAAATTAAATGAAATATAAGGTGCGACAGTATAAGATAAAGCATCACAGTTAAAAGATAATAGTAAGAATTAATACAGGATAATAAAGATAACTACAACTGAAACAGAGGCGAAAACAATCACCGGGAATACCACTCTTCACAAAGATAATAACCAGGGATCTCTCAGTATCCCGAGGATCTCTTAGTACCTTCAATACATGCCAGAGATCTCTTGGTATCCTCAATATATTCTAGGGATCTCTTGGTATCCTCAATATGTGCTAGGGATCTCTTGGTATCCCGAGGATCTCTTAGTATCCTCAATATATGTGCTAGTGATCTCTCGGTATCCTGCACCTCAGCTTAGATCATAAATACATACAGGCGATCTCCTGGGATGCCGTCCCGTAGTCCCAAAGTAAAACACACAGCAACAACACAAGGAATACTCAATTAAGCTAAATTTTGTACCAAGTAAAATAGGTAAATCTAACCTAACATGCTTCACATAATACAATTACGACAGTTTAAGCAATAAAGCAATTAAGTCAATTAAACATGCTTTTCTAAGCTAACAACAGATTTAAATTTCAAGTAGAGTAAGCAGGAAAGGGAAACACAATTAAAGCTACTTAAGTGAAAAAGGTTTGTCAGTAGGTTTTTCAATAATTAGCACAAGTACACACTCGTCACCTCACATGCAAGGCATTTCAGTTACCACAATACCAAATCCTAAGGGGAATGCCCCCCACACAAGGTTAGGCAAGCCACTTACCTCGAATCAGCTCAAAATCAACCCGAAACCACGCTCTTGCCATGAGTACTCGACTCCAAATGGCCTAAATCTATTCAACTCAATTGCATAATGTAAATTACACTTCAGGTAACTGATTTCACAAAGAAATTCTAAGCTAAAATGCAAAATTAGGAAAAATAACCAAAACGCCCTTTGGGCCCATGTCTCGGAATTGGATAAAATTTACATTTTCAGAATTCACATACTCTCACAAGTTTATACATATCAATAACACTGAAATCGGAGTTCAATTGGCCCCTCAAATACCCATTTTAAGGACACTTAATCTCAAGCCCTAATTACCCATTTTGCACTGATTTTTCCCAAATTTTCACCACTAATTAGACCTTTAAACACATATAAATGAGTTATGCAGTAAAAAAAGTTACCTCCAAGTGATTCCCCTTTGGTTTTCTCAAAAATCTCCCTCAAAAGCTTCAATCCCGTTCAAAAAAGGTGAAATAATGAAGAAGGGTCGCAGATGGGCTATTTAAATACTGCCCATTTATTCCTTCTTCGTGAACGCGGAAGGACCCTTGCGTTTGCGAAGTACAATTTTGCTTGGGTCCAACTTCCTTCATCGCAAACGCGATTCTCAGGCCGTGAACGCGATGCAACAACTCTTACAGTTTCGCAAACGCGAAGCATTAAAACTCCCCCAGCCCAGCTCCTCTTCGCGAACGCAAGACCCTTCTCGCGAACGCGAAGAAGGAAACTAGAACTGGACTGCTGCAATTTTTCCACAATTCCAACAAGTTCCAAAATGACCCGTTGAGAAACCGAAATACACCCGAGGCCCCAGGGACATCAACTAAATATGCCAACACATCCTAAAACATCATTCAAACTTGTTCCAATCATCGGAACTCTCGAAACAGCATCAAAACACTAATTTACCATCAGATTCAAGCCTAAGAAATTCAGAAACTCTCAAAATACGCTTTCAATCAAAAAGTCTATCAATCCTCGTCTGAATGACCTGAAATTTTGCACATACATTACATTCAACACTACGGAGCTACTCCAACTTCCAGAATTCCATTCTGACCCTCGGATCAAAATCTCACTATCGAATCGGAAACTTCAAAAATTTAACTTTTGGTATTTCAAGCCTAAATTAGCTACGGACCTCAAAAATACAATCCGAACATGCTCCTAAACCCGAAATCACCCAACAGAGCTAACGAAAACATAGAAATTCCATTCTGAGGTCGTCTTCACATTGTTCCGACTACGGTCAAATTTCCAGAACTTAAGCTCTCATTTAGGGACTAAGTGTCCCAAAACTCTCCGAAACTCCAAATAATTGCTCCCGGCAACTCACAATAGTAGAAACAAACACGGGGAAATCATTTAATAGAGGATCGGGGTGTAAATTCTTAAAAGGACCGGCCGGGTCGTTACATACTAGGGATCTGGCATGAGGCTTGTTATTCTAGGTGTAAAAACCTAGGTGTATTGTTCTAGACCTGGCTTACCCTATGCGGACAACTCGAGCCAGGGGGGAGCGTACCGAAAATACAGAAGCTTCACCGGCTTTGCAACTTGTCCGAACCTCGTTCTAAAATTGGGATATGACTCTAAAAGAAAAGAAGCCATATGAATTGCACACTTCCTTGATGATTTAGAAGAATTAGAGAGAAGAGGATTTCGTAACAGTTTATATACAATTCAAGTAATATAAAAGCGGTAAAAAGCGACATTTAGCACATTAGGTTTAAACATGTAAACATTAGATAATAAATGAAAGCCAAGTATAACAGCTATTCTAAGCTTGAATTCTGAATCCTGAACTAGAAGTTCTAGGTTCTTGTCCCCAGCAGAGTCGGCAGAGCTGTCACACCTCCTTTTTACCCGAGGATGATATAAGGGAGTTTTTTCTATTAAAGTGACATAAATCAATTTAATTTCAAAGTCTCCACTTAGGATAATTTATTTGGTGTTCCAAGTCACCAGTTTATTTTAAATCCCAAATCGAGGAGAATTTTGACTTTATTTAAAAGTCTGTGAAACCAGAAAACTAGGTAAGGAATTTTGTTAACCCGGGAGAAGGTGTTAGGCATTCCGGGTTCTGTGGTTCTAGCAGGGTCGCTTAACTATTAATAATTGGCCTAATTATCAGATTAATTACATGTTTTAAACCTATTGTGCATTTTTAACTTTATAACCGCTTTTATTTATTTGTGGAGTTGTTTCTGAAACAAGTCACGATTGTCGTACACTTGCCGTTTTGGAACACATTGCAAACCACGCTACATGAAATGCACCCGCAATTTGCGACATGCCTATTTTATTATTATTCGAAGTTGTGGTCAGGTCACATGAAATGCACACCCGAATGGGATGTACATATCATGACTATGACACGAGAACCGTACCTATAGTCACGATAGTTAATTAATCGCGCCTAAAGCAAGCTACAATGTTCATGATTTTCCTGAAATTAATTTTGAGATTATTGTGAAAGGCCGTAGATTATGAAATTTAATGTGGATAAACTAATAAATTTGAACAGAGGAAAGTAAGAAATATTAGCTAAATATTTAACTTCTTAGCTTTAAGATTTGAAGAGATCGATGATTGTTTGCAAAATACTCAAAATGGCGTGGACTTAAATATAGAAATGTCAAAAACTTAGGCTCTTTCATCCCAGGAGCATGTTTACAAATTTAAAATACAAATAAGACACTCTAATGACAATTCGGGTGATTATCACAATGCCATTCATATTACAAAGACTCTCTCAAACTTTAATTTCTCTACCAAATTAAGGTGACAACATCGAGTAAGCTCACTATTTATCTCTGATTTCTAATTACTAAGTATTATAGAAAAAGTAAATTTAAAGAACCTGGAATTACAGGTCTACGAGATCAACAAGCAACTTGAACAAATACTGTAACTAAAGATGTCAAATTAAGGAAGCTAAAACCATATTAATTCTTCTTCAAAGGTTATGAAACCATGATTTTCAGCATAAAATGACAAAGAACAATCGCTATTCTCCACTGGATTTGGCCAAACCAGTCCAAACCATTATATTCACATCAGGCAACAAAACATATTTGAACGCTCAACTTTACTTCCGTGAACAAACAAAAATTTAACTAATATCATTTAAATGCTCAAAGTCAATAAAAACCTTCCAACAACCACATAATATAAATAAACAAGGCAACACTCACATATAACACAAAACAAAAAAAAAATGATAAAGTACGGATAGAGGTTAAATTAATGAGTAATTATGAGGAGTAAGAAAGTTTATCAACTAGCAAATCCAACGAAACAATATGAAATCAAAGTGAGAAATGACACCTTTAAAAGAAAATTAAATGAAGATTCGATAAAATTTTTTATTTAAGATTCAAACACCACCAACAAAGATAGATGAACATACCTAAACAGCAATTGAAAAACCAATTATAGGTCTGAACAGAAGATGAATTTCAGCAATGATGAACAACAGAAAACAAGCCCCGAACTAGAGGAAGAAAAATTCAAAACCTAGGAAAATGAGTTCGAAATCAGCAGCAAACAACTCTGGTTCGATTTTAAACTGTTTGAATCAAAAATCCGAAGTAGTATACCAAAACTCTATTGTTCTTCCTTTATTTTGTTTTTCTAGAACTTCATTACTTTTTTTTTTTGATTTTTCTAGATCTTGGATTATTGAATCTCCCACTTATTCTCTAGCTATTTTTGTCGATGTTTGTGAGAGTGACGAAGGGGAGGTAGACAGAGAGAGAGAGAGAGGCACCATTTTTTTTGTTGTTCTCTCTACGGGAGGGAATAAAGCTGCTCCATTTTTTTTGTCCTCTGTTAGGGATGATGGATGGCTCTCTTGAAGATGAGAGTGTCGTTCCCTCTTTTAGAGATAGGAAGGGGGTGTTATCTTTGTTATTAGGTCTCTTTTTTGTGAAGAAGAAGAGCTAGAATACGGCCCTCTCTTGGGTTATAATGGGGGAGTCTTAATGAGAGGAAAGATTGGGCCAGGCGGGTTGGGTCTTTAAAATGAATTGGGAATTTAAATCAAATCGGTTGTTCTGAGCTGGCCTACTCTGGTGTTGAACTTCAAAATGTCCCATTTCCCTTTCTTTGTTTTCGTTTTCTTTTCTTTGATTTTAAATTCTAACAAATTAAATCTTAAATTAAGACCTAACTTTAATCTAATTAGCAAAATTAATTCTATTCATCTATAAACAAATGCATGTAAAATTTTAAAAATATTTTGTTGGATTTTTATGTATTAATTATAACAATTAAAGAGTAATTAATTCGTAAAGTGCAAATTAAGCCTAAGATGTCATGAAATTAAAATGTGGCAATTTTTATGTTTTTTCTCATGATTTTAAAAAATTAAACATGTATGAAATGCAACTAAATAAAGAAAAACTTCTAAAATCTATTAAAATTATTTTTGGTCTATTTTTAGGAGTTATTTCCATGTAGGGCAAAAATTAGGTGCTCACAAGATCTACCTCTACTTCCGGAGCTACCTCAGCCCCAACCTGTACCCCTTGGTAGTGGATGCAGCTTGGGGATCAGACTCCTGATCAGCTACTGATGCAGTACGTGTCCTTACAATCTATGGGAGAATAAGAATAGAATGATTCAAACACAAAGATAGAACTAAATCACACGATAAATAAAGAAAGAAAGTGATATTTCCTAAAGCCTTATAGAACATGGAAGATACGTACAAACGTCTCCATATCAGCCCTCTAGACTCTACTAAACTTGCTTATGATTGGTGAGATCTAGGCAAACTAGCGCTCTAATACCAACGAGACACCTAAATATCCGAAGCAAACACTTATCAAACCCTTTCTTTACCGACTTCAGAAATTGAAATCAACCAAAACATCTCCGAGATCAATATGTTGATGGGAGCACCACACAAGCTGAAGCAGTGGTGGAAGAATATCCGTCGAGAACACATAGATGAAATCAGGACACACATGGGGGCACTGACAACTTTGCTAAACATTCAAGCAGACAAGGTGCTTACTCGCCTGCTGATAGAGTTCTGGGACCCGACCAAGGTAGTGTTCAAATCTGCTGATTGTGAGTTAGTTTCGACATTCGAAGGAGTAACTAGTTTCACCGAACTGCCATTTATAGGAAGAAACTGATATTTCTAGTCACCATGCCCGACTATAGGTTTCTTGATGCTTTGGGTATAGAAAATAGTCGGGGGTTGAGAAACATCGAGGACAGATGTGGGAGCCTAGATTAACTATTCGATAGGTTCATATATCATGAAAGCTATGAGTGGTATTTGGAAGAATTTCAGTGTAATCAGGCAACATGGGAGAGTCTCAGGCCCATAACTTTCTCATTGGTGTTGTTGGGATTGTTGGTTTTCCCGCAAAGAAAAGGCTGGATCAGTATCAAATTGTTACTCATGGTTCTGGTTACATTCCGAGGCAACCTCCAAGCTACTCCGGTACCGATGGTGTTTGCTAATATTCTAAGGGCTTTGTCTGCATGCGTACGAGGGTATGATTTTTTAAGGGATGTAACTTGCTGCTTCAAATCTGGGCCACAAAACATTTCTTCCAGTGAGAGGCCACAATTGACTACTTTATTGGCGTTAGCAACATGATCCGTAACCATAATAAGAGGATGAGACATTGGGTCTCCTTACATGGAAAAGAAGAGTGGAGGAAAATGCTAACCAACCTATGTGGAGAATGGGTCAATTGGAAGTTATCATGGCTAGGTTGAAAGGCAACCCTCTAGACTCCTCAAAAATACTTCATTGAGCTGATAGGACTTAAGGGCATCCAGCCATACTCACCCCTATAGGTTCTCAGACAGTTCGGGTTGATCCAAGATGTGCCTATATGGACAAGGACAACGTGATATGAGGATGATTACAATGGTCAGATTCCAATACCGACAATAAGAAGGCTCTAAGAAGAGTGTAATGATCTGGTCACAATGCCAATGGGTCAAAACTCATGGTGCACTGTAGAATATTATGTCTGGATCAACGAGGATGACGAGCTAGCACAACCAAGCAGAGATGGTATCGCTTGGCTGGAGGACATAGTGGCTAATTTGCAAATCTACCATGAGATCTTGCCACATTACATTGTGACTACCTTGATGCACCGTCAAGTGGTCCCAAGGTCCATTGATCACATGCTGCCACTTACTGAAGATGATGACCAAGTAATAGAATGCATCCATATAGAATCCGAGACAGAGCCGGAGGAAGACCAATAGGAAAAGTATGAGTTCAATGACGATATAGAGGAATTTGAAGAAGATCCGGAAAGGGAAGATGAGATAGGGAATGATTTCGGAGATGGCTACTAGAAGTTGATTGATTTCCCCTTCTTTCCCACTTTGTATCTTTATCTCCAGTTTTCTTATTTTACCTAAGGTCAAGTTGTTCAAGCCCATAAATGATGGAAAAAATGATGTAACCTATGCTCCAGCTTATTTTAATCCAAACACTATCAATGAAAACAAAATTTTCTTCGAATCTAAATGTGTCAAATATGATTGCTTGTCAAATATTTGCGACTTAGGCATACCTCCGGCAAAAAGAGAGGATCCACGGATTTTAGAAAAATGTGCTTGCATGAATACGTGAACTAACTGGTCTGTGTGATCTTTTACTTGTATAAATAATGAAGCTGATTTTTGTTTCTTTTTCTTTTTTGTCATTTCTTACTTTATCATTATTCCAAAAGAAAAGTTGGTTTTTGTCGATCCAAAGCTGGCAGAACCACCGTACAACCTAAGATCAAAAGGCAAGATGTTTGCTACAGATAATCTGATCGAACATGTTATGGTAATAGCTGATAGCCCAATGGAATCGCGAGAAAAATACGATATAAGAAATGATAAACATGTGGCCAGGATGGCCCAGTAGATGGAATGTTTAAGGGATGACGTACAACATATCAGGGAACTGGCACATCCGGCCGTGACAATGCTTCCACAACAACCTCGTTTCCTTCTTTAGATTTAATCCCCGATAACTTCCCTTCCACCTATCGCTAGACTAACAACACCCCAACTTTGGTTCCAACACCTCAAATCATACCTCCATTAACCCCTGCAAACCCACCAAATCCTCTTATTCACACCCCCTACATACTACATTACGTTTAAATGCCACAAAACCCGCCCGTTATCACCAACACGATTCACACCCCTCCTTGCGATAGAGTCACCTTTACCACTCACCAAAATCAGCACATACCCATGACGCATGCCGCTACACATGAGAGACATGTTCCTCTTGTATATGTTATTTCTAAACCGACCTTTACAATTCCTGTCACGGTTAGGGTGCCTTGTGAGATTGATCAGTACGCCGATATGGAAAGAGAAACTAGGCTTAAAGAGGAGGAATAAATGTCTGAACTGTTATAAATTTTGAGAAAGCAAATGTAGAACCTCCAAGTCACTCGGGAAGTGAAAGTATGGACTATGAGGATCTGTGTATCCATTTGTTGTGGATATTCTAGTAGGGTACAAGCGTCCAAAGTTTAATATCTTTGATGGGACAGGTGATCCTTATGCACATTTGAGGGCATATTGTAACAAGTTAGTTGGAGTGGGAAGAAACGAGAAGCTGAGGATAAAATTGTTCATAAAAAAGGGGAAGCACTTACCTGGTATACTCGACAAGATCCACGAAATTGGAGGACAAGGCAGGATAAGGCGAAAGATCACTTGAATCGTTTCCGATTCAACACAAAGATCACTCCCGACAGGTTTGCACTAGTAAACCTACAGAAGATGTCGTCCAAGTCATTCCAAGAATATGCATGCTGATTGAGATCAGAGGCCGCTAGGGCACAACCTCCATTAGATGACAGTGAATTGACTAAGTATTTCATTAGGGCCCGAGAAGGGATTTACTTTGAGAAAATGATGGGGATTATGGGGCAGAAATTCCCTGAATTGGTCAAAATGTGAGATTTACTAGAAGAATGTATGAAATTCGGTAAAGTACAATCCATGGTTGCATTGTAAGCAGCTATCAAGGGTATCTAATAAGCATCAATGGATAGCGGAAAGAAGAAAATGGAAGAAGTATCAGCAGTCGTCCCTGGTTATCGGCCCAACCCATTTTATAGAAATACCTTTTATTCCCCGAATAACCATTCACCACCACTCACATATACAACACACAGCCATATTACCACCCCAGCCTCAATATAACCCACCTTGAACCCATAACAACCTGAACCCACAACTAGCATATGCTCCTATCCAACCCACCACTCATCAAAACTGACCCATTTATGCACCACGACCTTGCCCAAATTTTGAAAAGATGGATCCCAGAAGTTATACCCCGATTGCTAAACCTCTGGCTTAATGGTGTGAAAGATTGATGAGAACAGGTTTGATATATCTAGTGGAAGGAAGGGTTCCCGAGTATTCCTCAAAGTATTTTGATGTAACCAAAAGGTGCATGTACCATTCAAACGTGCTTGGGCATGATACTAAAGATTATTTCATGCTGAAAATGACATTGAAATATTGATCAAAAGCGGAGCCATTCAGTGCACTTCAGCTCCACCTAATGTGAATAGAAATCCGTTGCCAAATCACCAAAATTAAGGGGTCAACATGATCACCTTGGATAAAGAATACGATTTGAAAGGAACCGTCGTCACAATAGAAAATGTTGATGCTGCAAGAGTCCTACCTCAAAAGACACCAATGATAACAGTACAACTGAGACCTATGATGTTGGTTCAAACTTACCAGCAACAACTAGCCACTGCTACCAGGGATGAAGAGAATAGAGAATACAAAACTGCCCCATGGACATATCAGCAAAATGGAAAAGCCAAGATGACAGATTCCGCGGTAGCCCACGGTATGACTAGGTTGAGGAGATGCTACGCTCCTGAGGATGCAAACCAAGGAAATTTGGGAAGAGAGCAGATCCAGAGAAGAAATATAACAGACCCCGAGGCCACATAATTCTG